ACCCAGAAAACCCCTTACTACATCCCCAGTTCCCTTCCTCCACACCCACTCCCCAGCTGCTGCCCCTGCTGAGTTCCTGTGCCCATCATCCACCACATATCATTAGATCAGTGTCAGGCAGCTTCTTCCTCCATGCTGCCTGGATACGTAGGAGGGAGCACAGGCAGGATGCTCCTGCTCTCAGTTCTTTTGCCTGTTACCACATCAGCCTGTGGCTGTGGGGAGAAAAATGCCAGGAATGTCCTGCTTGGTCCTTCTGAGTGGATGGCACATGTGGCGATATGACAGATATGAATGGTGAGAGGATGGAGAAGACCCAGAGTACAGACGAAATCTTCAGAGAACTTAGCTGCCAAATTCCAATAAGTCTAATGAGCATGTGCTAACTCCAAGATTTCAGAAGCTCATAACTTGCCCAGATTTGGATAAATTTTCATGGGAACCACAGAGGGCACATCTCTGACACCAGGGTAACATCCCTTCACCAACCAAAGAATGGAAGTAACAGTTTCCCAACTAAACAGCTGTAAGAATTTTACTCTGGCATAACATTTTTCTCCAACCTACACTATTCTACATAATCGCAGTAGAAGAACCTATTCACCACAGTATCTGAATGCCTTCAGCAACATAATTAACATCTGTCGTGTGTGTTGTTCATGCATTCTCTCATCCTCCCCCCAGGAAGAGAAGTGTGGCTGCAGGGGAGCATTTTGATTTGGGGAATTTTTTTTAAATGCACATATTGCTATGGATTTACTAGAGAAGACTAGATCAAAGTGCACCTTTCACCTTAGAGTGGAAGGTGGTGAGGTGTGTCATGGTCCTTAGCTCCTGGAGTTCACGCCACAGTCTCCATCCCCCAGGAAAGTTCCATCTCCTGGAAGTGAGCTTAATTCTTATGGTAGGAAGTTCCACTGTACCAAAGATAAGAGCTGATGACCAGAGTCTGTATCCTGGATCTTTAGGTGATATTTTAGATACCCTGGGCCCAGGCCACTAAGGCCTTGAAGATAAGGACTGAAACCTTGAACTTGATTTGACATTCTCTGGCATTCACTGATGCAGCCACTGCCACTTCTAAAATGTCAGATTGCCTACAGGAAATTAACTCTTGGCTGAAGAGCAGCTGGCTCAAGCTGGATTACTGTAAATCATTTTATCTGAAGCTGAATGTGAAACTGACTCACAGCATCCATCTGGTACAGAATGCAGCTGCCCCCATTCTCCATGACTCAGGCTTCCGTAAGCACATCATGCTTGGACTAAGCTCCCTGCCCTGGCTCCCAGTTGGCATCCAATGTCAGTTTAGGGCCTCAGTCCTAATTTTCAAGGCAATGAATGGATCAAGCCCCAGCTACATCAATGACCGAACTTTGATCTGTGAACCCCCATGACAGCTGCGCTCCTCCAGGAGCGTTCAGATCACTAAGACCAGGATGAATCATGAGAGTTCAGAGAAGCATTCTCTATGAAGGGGACCTAGCTCTGGGACAACCTTCCAGAGGAGACCCAGTGAATCCCAAGTCTGACCCTCTTTAGAAAGTGGTGCAAAGCCTTCTTCTTTGAGAAAGCCTTTCCACCATATGCAGTGCTTAATTTGTGGCAGGGCTCGCTAGGGCTGGGCCCTAGCACCTCTGGACTTGGCAGTTCATAGCCCCAGCACCTCTAGCGCTGCATCAGTTATGAATGTAAAAAAAGTGCTTGAGCCCCGGCACATCTTGAATTACAAATTAAGCACTGACCATATGTGATACTCACTTTGAATACCCCTTTTATTTTCAAACCCCTACAAACTTCCCAACTGCCTCTTTGCCCCCACCAAAAAGTTCTACCCCAGTGACTCCATGATGTCCACTAGATACTTTATTCTTTCTATTGATTTTACGTGGGAGGGTCTCAGATACTATGGTAATGAGTGGCAGTACAAAACCGTAAGATAGAACAAGTTTGATGTGTCCCAGTAGCCAATGTTGCTGAGAACCTTAACTGTGTTAGCTGAAATTTCCTTAAAAAAAAATTCAACCCGTGGCAGACACATAGCATGGAGAATTTCAGCCCTAATGGTTTAAGTCTGACAAAATTATAAAGCAACAGAAAAAGTCTAATGATGGAAAACCATTAGGCTTCCTTAACTATAGACATTACTACCTGCATCACCTATAATTATCCATTAACTTTTGTTGGCTAGGATCATCATCAAAGCAGTGTGTGGAAAATCTCCCTATTGCCCAGAATGCATCTAAATTAGCAATGGATGTGTTCTCCTTCCTTTTCAAAGACAAAAGCGTGATGATGGCTGTTTAGCATAGAGGAGTCAGGCTCCCAGTCCATTGCAAGTACATCTTTTAGTCATTAACTCTGCCATATGATACCTGAAAGCATCTGAGGGTATATCTTCTCAAATGTATGTATATTACAGAGCACAGCATATAAAAATCTTTCCCTTACAATTTTTGCTACAGAAAAAAACCTCACTAATCTATATGACTTGTAATATAGAAAGCAAGACATTCTCCACTTCCCAGCTTATATTTACATAACAGAGGACTGTAGGGAGGGCTTGTATTACAAAAACAATTATTTTTACCAAATGTACTACAGAACACTTTATTAGTAAGTATTTTATAAAGTATCCAATGAGTGTTACTGTAAGTGACCAAAAGTACCTTCTATGACACATTAGCCTCTTTTTGAAGTCTGCTCACTTATTCACCAATTTGAAAATTCAACCAGCCATTTACAACCAGTTTCCCAGTCACTGATGCAAGTGAGTGAGGTTCTTCTGTAATGATTCTATTTGCCTGGAATTCTTTTAAAAAGGGATATTCTACAATCGCTGAGGACTTGCCCATTTGAAAATTAGGGCTAGTATTGTTCCAGCCTTTTTTAGGAGGTCTGGTACTGAACTATTAAAACCCCCCAAACATTTTGCTTTCAATACTAACAGCATAGAGCGCTTTAAAAACATTATATACCTAAGCTTAGGCCTAGAACTAAGTTTTGTAGTATAAAATTTTTGCAAAACCTGATAATTGTTTAATACTCTTAAATGTCCAATGGAAAGAATAATTTGGATTTTGTATATTTAATCTGAGACTCTTATCACTTTACAGATATTATCTACCTAGGTGAGGATAACCCCCTCATAATCACAGTAGCTGAGTACCTCAAACACTAATGAATTCATCCTAACTCACTCATCTTTGTGAGTAAAGTGGGTATCACCATTTTTCAGATAAGGAACTGAGGCACAGTGAGATTAATAGATTTACCCACAGTCCCACAGGGAATCTATGGCAGGCTGAGTAGTGTACCTAGATCTCTGGAGCCTCACTCCAGTGCCTTAATCCCTGAAAGGTCAATAAAGGAGATATAGCTATTGCTTCTTGGGAGGAAAACAGTTTTTAACAGCACACAAACAGTACAAACAGTTTGGGTGAGGAACAGAAGAGGTTTTTATGAATTTCAAAATCCCCTTACAGTGCTGGAAAACATAGCTAAGCAGTAATGTGTATGAGACACTGAAAGTGAAACCATCCAAGCTTAGTGAATTGCAAGAGGGAACACAGCCTAACGACAGAAAGAAACTAGATCAGACTTTTATATTAACCCAGTATCCAAAATAAATAAATAAATAAAAATGTTTACACTTAATTTTTCATGTATAAGCAGCATTAGATTCTTCGCTGTTCTCAGAGAGAAACAGACTTGTTACTATGAATACACAACACTCTGAAAGAATTATTTAGTAATTCACCTCTACTGCCACTGGAGGACAGACAACAGTTATCAGTTGTAAATAGAAAAAAATTATAGCTCTGACAGGATCACAATTTCAGATATTGTAAAGTACTATGCTATATGAGTAAAATGTAAGTAAAATAACTGAATTAAAGTTAGAAACAGCATATGTCTTCACGGGCAAAATATGTAACTTAATATCTTAAACATGTTTCTCATGACAGAGCCTTTTTAACAAGATACCACAATATTGTCTATCTTTAAATTAAATTACTAAGTGACTTCTATTCTACATTTCAGGTGAGATTCTTACCTAATGTTGCTCCATTGATTTGAGCTATACTGATTTACATCAGCTGTGTCACACACCCACTAATGGTGGGATTTTTGAAAGCATCCAAGGAAGTTAGGAACACATAGCCCATTGAAAGTCAATGGATTTATTTTCCTAACAGGTACACCTCTACCTCGATATAACGCTGTCCTTGGGAGCCAAAAAAACCTTACCGTGTTATAGCTGAAACCGCGTTATACCGAACTTGCTTTGATCCGCCAGAGTGCGCAGCCTTGCCCCCCCCGGAGCACTGCTTTACCGCGTTACATCCGAATTTGTGTTATATCGGGTCGCGTTATATCGGGGTAGAGGTGTAATTTTGAAAATTCCACTATAAATCTTTTACACAGCATTCTTTTGGACCATTGTAGAATGCTGAGGAGGGGATTTTCAGAGACATTCAGCATTGGTCTAACTATTTGCCAATGCTGAATGCGTTTGAAAACCTCACTATTGGTCCATGCTTACAATTAAATGTGCAGATCGCATCATAGCAAATGGATTAATGTACAGATGGCAACAACTTTGTATAATGCTATGCAAGCTTAACAGAAATCCATCAAAACACATAGTGCCTCCTAGAGTCAAATGCACAGCACTATCTGAGGACCTGATACGTCTGGAGGAATCAGCTTTGCTCATTCATTGCTGTAGGTAAAATGTGAACAGTATGCTCCCCTCCCCTCTCCTCCCCTCCCCTGAAGCTCCTCATGTATTCTTCCCAAAATACATTCCGTGCTTCCCTCCCCCCAGGACCCATCACTCACTTTGAGAACTTCTGATTTATAGAACATGTTGAGCAGAAAGCTAAACAAAATATTAATACACTAACTTCACAAATGATCACACTGACAACGAAAGACTTGAAGGGAAAATACTTTTCCTTTAAGGCCAGAGGGGGAAGTCTGAGAGGCCAGGATACCCTGTTCCAGGAATTCTGAAGCAGAGGAGGGCCTAGGAAATGGCAGAGGAAGGTGACAGAAGAGGATGTGGTCCTGGGGTGATAATGTCTGGGAAAACCCAGGCTATTGTTCTTTACAGGCTCAGGATGGGGAGCCTTGCAGCATAGGGTCAGACAAAGCTCCCCTCTCTCAGCCACCCAGGATAAATTTTGCAAGAGGTCAACATATAACCTGCCTCTTTCCTTACACAGGGACACTCTCAGGGAAGGACTGTCTGTCTGCTGACTCTTCCCACCCACGGGAGAAGGGACAGAGGTGGTGTGACCGAGCCTCCAAGTGGCAGAGCAAGGCTGGAAGACTGCACCCAACAGAGATGCCTGGGAGGAAAGGACTTTTGCTATGAAGGTTTGTGTTCAGTTTGTTTTTTTGAAAGGCTGCCTGGGTGGAACCAGCTGAAGGCAATTTAAAGGGGCCACCTCAGAGAAGCTGCCTGAAAGACTACAGCCTGCTACAGACTCAAACACTGAAAGTACAATGGAGGTTATAATCAGTAGTTGATGAAACATTTATTATTTTTGTAAATAGCTGGGAGAAATATATATTTCAGACCACAGTCTAATCCCAAATCTACTGTTGTGGATGCCAGGATGCCAGACAGGGGAAGTGGCGTATCAGAGATCAAAATATGGCCTTCCATTTCTAAGAATGGCATTTAGGCCCCAATTCAGGAAAGCTCTTTAAAGCATAACTTTAAGCACATGCTTAAGTACATAAGTATTCCTCAGTAAGGATGCTTTTCTCAATTAAGGTCTTAATAACCTATCTCCACCGAAGCACAGGGACTTCAAATGCATTGTGACTGCTGCAAATTGTGTGCAGAGAGATGGAGGCAGGATGGCCCAGTGATTAGGGCCTTTGGCCGGGACTTGAGACCTGGGTTCAATTCCCTGCTCTGCCACAGACTTATACAGCCCATACATGGCCTTGGGCAAGTCACTTAGACTTAGACACCCATGTCACTTTTCAAATGAGATTTTGGCACCTTAACGCTGAGCAGGGCAACACCCAAATCTCTTTCCTTGTCTCACAGTGGTGTTGCAAGGACAAACACATTAAAGATTCTGAGGTGCTCACACACTACAGGAATGGGGGTCATAGAATAGAGAGAAATTGCTGTTTCTCCTCAGTAGGAAAACATGCTTTTATACCCTTCTTGGTCTCAAGGAAACACCCTGAAATATCCAGACTACATATTTTCATCAGCGAAAGTATGAAAAGGTTCTTTGGCTGGCCAAAGCAATAATTCAAGTGATGCACAGTCTGACAGCTGAGCAGAACGTCAGACAACCATGTGACAATGTACCACCTTGGCTTAGTCTCATGCCAATGACATCACATGATAATAATGAAATATCAGATCGGTCCAGTAGGAGATATGACTGAGAGGCATGTTAGAGTAAGTGGCCTGGTCTTGCTAGTTTTCGCTCTTTTGGGGAAAAGGAAATATGTATTTGTTTATGAAGGAAGTGTTAGAAGCTGACAATCTTGTAGATATTCATGGTACTTTGCATGGCTGCAGATCCTGTGACTTCAAAGACATATATGGTGTTAAGTCAATAGCTAATATTACCAGAGGGAGAATGGAGCACACAAATTTGGCTTATTTCTGAAATGGAAAAATGACTTCTGAATTGAGAGATATCAACGTTTGATCCAGGTCATTATTGAATTAGACTAAGGACATAAGGGTTTGAGATTTACCTGACATCATAAGAACATAGGCATGGCCATACTGGGTCAGACAAATGGTCCATCTAGCACAGTATCCTGTCTTCCGACTTTGGCCCGTGCCAGATGCTTCAGAGGGAAAGGATAGAACAGGGCAATTTATCGAGTGGATACATCCTACCATTCAGTCCAAGCCTGATGGTCAAGAGATTTAAGTATCAGAGGGGTAGCCGTGTTAGTCTGAATCTGTAAAAAGCAACAGAGGGTCCTGTGGCACCTTTGAGACTAACAGAAGTACTGGGAGCATAAGCTTTCGTGGGTAAGAACCTCACTTCTTCAGATGCAAGTAATGGAAATCTCCAGAGGCAGGTATATATCAGTGTGGAGATAACGAGGTTAGTTCAATCAGGGAGGGTGAGTTGCTCTGCTAGCAGTTGAGGTGTGAACACCAAGGGAGGAGAAACTGTTTCTGTAGTTGGATAGTGTGAAAGTGAAATGAATTATATTAAAGAAATA